ACAGAAGTAGTGGAACTGGAGGGCTTTCGATCCTCATACCATTGAAGAAAATCATTGAAGATAGCAGATTTGTCTGAAGGTACAGACGAAGGAGGATCCACAGTAGAGAATTGTGCGGAAGAATCAGTCTGAGCAACTGCAGCAGATCGGCGAGGATAACCATGTAAAGCATAACATTTGTCAATTTTGTGGCCTAGTTTGCCACAATGGTCACACTTGACACGCCCTTTGCCTGGCTTGTGAGAGCGATTACGATCATCACGGTGAGAGGCCAAGGCAGATGAATCATTAAAAACAGATTGCTCAGACCCACCGGAGCTGACAGAGGTAACTTCAGAATTGGAAGTGGCAGCGGAAGATGCCATGGAGGAAGAGAGAGAAAAACCCTAAAACACCAAAGAGGTCCGATTGGAGCAGCGAGGACAGATCCAGAGAGAGGAGAAGGAGGCGACGCCGGCGCAAAGAGCGGCGGCGAGACGCGCCGCCACGCGCGGCGGAACGGGAGAAGGTGGCGCGGCTTCGGGAGGCGCGTGAGGGAGCGTGGCTGCTCCGATGACCGCGAAATTTCCACGGTGGAGGTCGCACGGAGGAGGCGAGCAAAACCCTGTGCTCGGCGGTCCGAACTGCTACTCCGGCGACGGCGGCGGACGGCGGTGGCGACGACGGCGGCGGCGGCGGCGATGGAGGCGGCGACAGCTGCAGGTTCAGTGGCAGAGCCGAAAAAAAATCCCAAGAGACCTTAAGCTCTTGATACCATGTTGAATATAGGGAAAAACTGTATAGGGTTAATTTCCCTTGTGTATTTACCACACATAGGGCAGTGTATTTATAATAAAGAAAGGTACTCCTCAAAAGAGTAACAGAATACAAATAGGGTAAATAAAAGATATTATTTGATATTGTGATTAACAATATCTAACAATATCTCAATAATATCAAATAATATCAACTAATATCTAATCATATCTAACAAACCTATTAACTAATGTTTAGCAGGTCTACATTGTCCAAAAACAACAAAAGATTATCAAGAATAAGAGTTACAAAATCAAAGACAAAAATTTAATCAAATGTAAAAGTACTTCCTAAATTGAAAAATACTCCTAAATTGCTATGAACAAACCAAACAGAAACTACTCCTAAAATGATTTTTGACTGATTAAATTCTAAAACAAAGTAAAAGAACTTGAAATAACATCTAAGAACAACATTCTAACCAATTAAATTAGAGAAATTAAGGCAATACAACGAAAACAAAATTAAGATGGTAAAATAGCATTAAAATAACAAGAATAGCGAAATAACACATGAAAACTTTGTGACATTGACTAATGAGATGTCAGTCTTATCCTTAATGAATAAGGAACTGATTAAGGCTTGAAAAACAATCAAGAATCACGCTCAAATCACTGCCAAAACAATGTAAAAACTGAAAACAATGAATAAGAACAAAACTATAAACAACATTATGAACAATATATGATTATGCGATGAATTGAAGTAGAAATTCGTGTAAAAAATGTAAAATGAAATTGTATTGAAAGAACAACTAAAATAAAGCAAGAAGAACACTAAATAAAGCAAAAAAAAGAGAAATTAAAGAGACAAACCAGAATTGAGAGAACTTAAACTAGCTTCGCATCAATTGAAGAATAAAATTTGGTGTGCATTACAATCACGCGAAAATGCCTTATTTATAGGTTCAAATGTGAGTTAACTAGAGTTAAAACTAATTAAATCATGATTAAAAATAATTAGTAGTGTGTCTTAAATCTAAGTATAATTAATTTTCGTATCACTTCGGCAACAAGATCTTCAATTTTGCATTACCATCTTCTCTGATTTATTAAAAATATCTCTGAGCTCCAAAATTAGTCAAATTTATGGTCAAATTGAAGCATATGATGTCTAGTTTTCAACGCAAAAAGAAGAAACTCAATCGCACTTATGTACAAAAAGATATAAATAAAAGAAGAAGAAAAGGTTAAAACTGGTCGATGAAGAAATCGATAGTAATACAACAAACTATGTTAAAATACAGAAATTAGTATATTTTGTGATTTTGCATATTTTTCCCTAAAAATACAAATATAATATAATATAATAGAATAAGAACCTAAAAGAATCTAATTCTACTTTATTAAATAGGAAAAATACTAATAAACGAATTATCATCACCATAAAAAAAACTGAAATAACATGAATGAGACGTCTCCCAAGACTCTTATGAAGCTAATCAATTTGGTATTCAACCTGATCGATTATGTGGTGCACATAATTAATCTCTCGTTGTAGACTCTAATAATTATTCTGAACATTCACTTCAAGTTTATCTTTGTATATAACTCCCTATATTAAGTTTATGATATCAACTTGGTGAGGAGGATATATTTGTTCTCCTTGAACTGGTGCTTCTGCTTGTCCATGTTGAACCCGCACATCTTCATCTTTATTAGAGGGGTGATCATGCTCAAGGTCAGGTTGTTGGACATGTTGACCCCTGTCATGTTGCCATGCCCCCATCAACATTTATTATATTCAACTTTTTCAAAGATGTCTTGTTAAATCTATTTGTCTGTCCAATGGAGTGATTTGATTGTAAAATCAAGTCCAAGCCACAGTGTAGTAGAATATGAGTGATTAGAAGACCATACGGTAGAAGTATATGATTAGCCTTACATTTCCTCATATGTTTGATGATATAATAAGGCTAATTAATCAGTATGTGATTCTTTATGCACCAGATCATAAATATATAATCTTGTAACACTTGAGCATAATTATTTCATCGATGACTAAACATATGAACGAAGACATAATGGAGAAATCTATCCTTCACGGTTAAACTACCAGCATTCCTACAAGTCTAAAATTGTAGTTCTAGTCTAACCATCACATCTACTAGTGCCTCATTCCTATCGTATTCCAAGTCGTTAGGAATGTTAGTAAGATCAATCTGGTGACCCTGATATTTTAAATAGGCCACATTTAACCAATCATCAGGTTTGATCCTGATTTGCGTATGTAAGAACTTAGTAACTAGATCATCTGAGTCAATCAATTTTAAATTTGTGTAAAAATCTTTATTAGTTCTTCATAAATACTATCGGTTGAGGTTAGAAATATATCCAACCCCTAAAAAAAAAGGTGACATGGGAATCCGAACCCAACCATAACAAAGAAGTTGAAGTCCATTACCTTTTCTGTACTATTTGCCTGTGGACATAATCTGCATAATATTTGTTCATCTCATTACTAAAGTAACGATCATGGTCTAATAAAGTAGAGAAATGAGGCAAGTTAGGAGGAGGGATTGGTGCAGATTCCTTTATCACCTTTTTCCCCTACTTTGTAACTCATGTCTTTATCTTTTACCTCTTGACGACGATGAATGAATAATTCAAACCCTTCAAATATTTGACTTATATACATAAGAATATTTTATTTTAATTAATTATATCATACTATGGATGATCATAATAATAAAGTTTCGATTAAAAATTATTATTGTATTAATTTGGTATGTTTTAAATAAATAATTATATCTTAAAATAAATTTTATTAAAAAAATGTACCCTCCTCTCATTAATGTCCTTATAAATAATTTATAAAATACCAAAATAAAATATATTTTTAAATTTAAACTAAAGATCAATTTGGTAATTAATTATATTTTAATTAATTATTATTACTAAAAAAATTACCTTTCATGTTTGTTTTATTTTAAAATTTGATGTCTTAATATAGAAAATTTGTAAAATACCAAAATAAAATTTATTCCAAAATCTAAAATAAGCACTAATTTGTCAATAAATTAATTATTATTACTAAAAAATATTAACTATCGGTTTTTTTATTTCAAAATTTAATGTCCTCATATAGAAAATTTATAAAATACTAAAAAACAAATATTAATTATTAAGTTTAAATTAAGCACCAATTTGACAATTATTTATCTTGTAATTAATTAGTATTACTAACAAAACATAATCTCTCATGTTTTTTTATTATAACAAAGAAAAACTCAAAATTAACATGAATTTGAAATTGCAAATCAACCTAAATGTTATCTAATCTAACTTATTATAATTTATCAAATCTAACTTTTAATGTTTCACATGTAACCACAAATTTTTCAAATATAAGTTAAAAGATTTCAAATCTAACTTAAAAGGTACTCAATTTAAGTTCTAATTTTGAATATTTTATCACATTTCTTAAATCAAACTTATAAGCTTTGAAATTTAACTTGAGATTTATCCGGTCAAACTTATAATCTCTCAAATCTAACATCAAATTTCTTAAACTTAACTTAAAAATTATTTGATGTAACAATCTCCTTCGTGCATTGCAACTGTGCATAACATAAAAAAAAAATTAACACATAATCAAAGATGGGTAAGTGCATAATTGATTATGTTGAGCCCATATTTGATTGTGAGTACCTGATATTCGATCATGAGTCAAGCATAATCGATTATGAGCCATAAATATTCAATTATGCCTTACTACTCGATCATCTTCTAATTCTCTCCCGAGTATTGTACTTAACAAATGTACATGCATGATATTCATGTTTATATATATGGTCATGCTGTCCAACACAATTTAATGAACAACTAGTTATTCAACCATCAACAAATACTTCAATAAAACCATGATTAAACTTACTTACTTTGACTCCTAAGCTTGTTGAAGATGTAGTGGGAGGTTTAGTTGTAGCTTTCCTTCTTTAGTTAGAACAACAACCACTTCAGCTTCAAATACAACTAGAAGAACAACAAGTGCAGTTGGAAGAACAATAAGTACAACTGCTCTTGCTCAGTCCATCCTTCTTTGGACGAAAGAACTCGTTCAAATTGGAAATGAGTGATGAAAATGAAAGAAGATAACAATAACCTTCACTTGCGAGAACGAGTGTATTTATGGACGAAGAACCCTTTTCTCACAAGATAGTATTCAACTTTTAAATAGTGCAATGCCACTGTGGTTCAAAGTGCATGATGTAGCACAGTCTCACATTGTAAACTGTAATAAGCAATTTGACTGTTTAATTACACATGGTGCTCTTTGTCACTTTGTTGCAGAGTAGAAATTCTACATGGTGCATGTGCACCTTTGCAAAACCATCACATAAACATTTTACGTCTATTGTATGCATTTCTTAACATAAGAGAGGGTAGATACTTTGACACTTTCATCCTCTCATTTCCTCTTAAATCTACTCAAATCAACACATACAAACAATGCCCTTCCTCAAATTCCTCCCCCATTTCCTTAATTATAGTACATTCATGAATGCAAACAAGAACATAGTGATTTCAATCTCAAATATATTAATATCAATAATAACTTATTATTTTGATAACCAATTTTATATGACAAAGAAGATTATACAAACAATTATTAAAAATTTTATTTATATAATGAAATATGACGTGTTTGTTACAATACATTTGACTCTTGTATAATATTATAAAAAATAAATACAAATTTTTACAGTACTTAGTATCAATAGGTCTCAAGAAATATCTAATAATAAAATTTAGATATCTGTACGGTGAATAAGGAATAATGGTATATATGTTTATAATAGATTTTGAAAAAAATACGATGAAAGATTATATATAAGATTATATATATATATATATATATATATATATAACATTTATCAAGTTTTTTTTTACAAAAATTTAAAAAGAAAGAAAAAATTCTCAATAATAAACCTAAATAAAAGGGTCAAGAAATATCAATTAATGTCACGTATACAACTTTGTGAATTTAACTGTTTAAATAATAAAAAATTTATTTAATAAAAAGTTGAAATAAATTTTATTTAGAATTTCAGAAAGTAGATAAGTATTTCATTCTTTTAGAAAAATAAAAGATATAAAGTAAAGTAAAATTATCATCAGCATTGATATTTTTATGCCGCATCAGGCACTTTTATGTCCAGTCCACATATTCATTGAATTCCATCAATAAAATGGCTCTCTTCTGCAACTCCGTCTCCTTCTTCTCTCCCTCTCTTCTACACCGACCCTCACATCTTCCCCGACAATTCTTGTGCCCCAAAGCTTCCATAAGCTCTTCCCCCACGAATCCAAGGCACAGCAGAGTGTTTCTTCTGCAACTTCCGCCGCCACTTCTCCTTCTCTGTCCACTCCTTTCGTTGACTCTGGGCCCCCAGACCCCGCCTTCAAGTATGCCCTCCCCAACCCCAACGGCAACCCCCTCGTTCGGTTCCTTCGAGCCACCGAGTCTTCCATTGAAAGGGTATTTCTCCACCTTTCTCTCTTTTTCTGTTATTATTATTATTTTCTTTTCATATGTTTAATTATACAAGAAGAATTTTAGAAAATTATAATTAATACAAATTTAATGCTACTAATTCAATTAACTTTCTTCCATGAATTTAGTTATAGTGTGTTGGGAACATTATCAGAAACTGTAGTTTGACAAGAACTTATACTGAAATCACGTTAACTGCCATGGCGTGATTCTGGATGATCCAATGTGGATACAAACCTGCACACTATCAGACATTGGTTTTAGATTAAAAGTATTTTGGAGTGTGACAAGCTCGATGATAGATGATTTTAACATTTCATTATTCTCAAGATAAAGTGGTATGATTATACATATTTTCTTTTCTAATTAAGTGTTTTTTTCATTCTGTTGAGCAGGTCATTTTCGACTTCCGTTTTTTGGCGTTACTTGCTGTTGGAGGGTCCTTGGCAGGGTCTCTCTTGTGCTTTCTGAATGTATGGTCTCTAAATACCCTACATCTTTAAACCAGTTTGGTAATGCTATAGTAGAGTATTGAACCCACCATGGATGTCTATAATATATGCATCCGTATCTTGCTTTTGCAAGTGGCTGATTTCACTACCTGAACCTGCCTCTGGTCACATGGTGATAATTTCAATGGTCCAACAGTTGTCACAGGACTCCCCTTCTGATGGGATGGGCATGAGGTCCAAAAGAGGAAAAATTACATGACTAAAGAATTTAATAGGATGGTCTTATAATATATATATATATATATATATATATATATATATATATATATATATATATATATTTAGTTTATATTTTAGCTCTCTAAAGCTGGATCATGATATTTGTAGATGATCAGGTAAATGTCTGTATGTTTTAGGTTGTATGTGTATTTTTCTTTATCTAGTAAGGATGAAAATGATGTGTAGGTAAAAGATGAATAAACTTATATAATTTAAATAATAACCTTATAAATGTCATTATCTAATTTTGGAGAATTAAAATATAAACTGAGTAATATTATAAATACTATTTTTTGAGAAAATTATACTTACATTCCTCCTTTTACTAGTTTTAAATAGATATTCACCTTCTTTTTTTATATTTTATTATAATAACAATTATATCCTCTCTAGTTTTAAAATAGACATTTACCTTCTTATACTTTCAATAGATTTATGCTTTTAATAGATGACACTCACTTTTCTTATATTTTAATAAAATGGAATGGCTCTTATTTTATTCATAAATAATATGTTCATTGAAACTAAAATAAAAATTTTATAAAAACTAAAAATGAAAGTTTTAAAATATAAAATTAAGGAATTTTTATATAAAAAAATTAAGGATTTTTTATATAAAAAAATTAATAATTCAATTATTAATTATTAAAAATATAATAAAAATTATAATGTCACTAAATTATAAATTATCTTATAAAAACATAAAAAATTTGAGAAAACATTACTTTCATATAAAAATAAATAAATAACTATAAAATATATGATTAATTCTATTATAATGTGATTTTAATCGAGATCATTTATACAATTTGAAAATTATAGGGAATGTCAATGCAGTTTTGTCAAAAAAAGAAAAAGAAAAACATATTTTCCTGTAAATGACTATTTTAGATTATTGAATGTATAAAGAGTTGACAATGTAGTCTATGAAAGAGATCATGATTTAGATAATCAATGTGGTAGAAGTACAATAATTGTATTTTCTTATTAAATTTTATGGGACCATCTGCCATTAAATTGTAACATTTAAACATTAATTTGATATAAAATTTATTTTATGATAACCAATTTGATATTAAGTTGTTTTTCTTTGTAACAATTTGTCTTTTTTAATGCCAATTGGACAATAAGTTATAAACTTATAATATAGGAATTAAATAATCCGGTTATTAATTTGTCAGTTTTTTACATGTTCAGATACCAAAATAGTTATTTATTCTTTTATTATTTTCTATTTTCTAAAAATATAAGAAAGATATCCTTGTATTTTAAAAATAAAAGTTGTATTAGTCTCATTTATCATACCTCAAAGAAAGTTAGTGCAATTTACCCTTATTTGGTATATTCTAAGATTATCCTATAAAAACGTTAAGCCACTTAATTTTCTTGGTTTGGACATTTTAAGGTCCATCCTATCACCTTCTCCCAGCTACTTTAATGTAGTAAATTTTGTAGTTGTACTAAGAAGTTATCTGCGTTGGTACGAATATAAATTATGTGTCCTATTTTGTTGAGTGCCCTGGTGAACAATATTGCTTTCCTTTAGATGGTGTGACAAGTTAAATTTGAGAAATTAATCCTAAATTTTCTTTTTCTTCAATTTGGTAGACCAAAATCAAATTTATTACAAATTTCAAAGATTAAACATATAATTATGTTTACAATTAATCATCATGTCATAAATATGGCGGTCATATATCTGACTGTAGTGGATAATTTTAGGGTTGTATTTATATTGTTGATGCATACAAAGTCTATTGGACGAGCTGTGTCAAAGGAGTTCACACCGGACAGATGGTTCTGCGTCTGGTTGAAGCAATTGGTAATTTGTCGCTTATCAGACTTACACTTTTCTATATAATCAAGACTTAATTTTGTATTTACTCTACTTGGATTGGACCATGAAAACATCAAAGGAAAAATCGGAGGAATAAAGTATTATATGTTACTTTCTTGCTTTTAAATTATCAAACTTATGTTAGGCCCTGTAATTTATTTCCAAACATTGTCAGAGGAAAACATTTAAATCATAGTTAAGGTACATATTTCCAAATATATGAAGGTGTTATGTCTCCTGCAAATAGTATACCGATATTATGTTTTCATTGGGAAGCTCTCTTTTTTTTTTTTTTACCTCCATATTTGGTCTCAATTTCAGATAAGATTATGTTTACTACTTGCACTTAGCCATTTTTACTTGCTATTGCAGATGTTTATCTTGCTGGTACAGTTATGCTAATTTTTGGTATGGGCTTATATGGATTGTTCATAAGCAATATACCTCCTGATGTCTCACCTACTGTAGACCGTGCCCTTAAAGGATCCTCTTTGTTTGGAATGTTTGCTATGAAGGTAATAATTATACAACTCTAAAATTGTAATGAACTATACCACACTTTTGTACTTATTGAGAACATAAAAATGACATCTATTTAGGAAATTTTAGCAGTCCAACATTTTACGTGTAGCCTGGATATTCAAGTTGGGTATTTGTTCTAGTTGGTCTCTTTGTAGCTAATGTAAGAAGAAATCCCTTGGAACTCTATGTTCTTTAGGTTGGGTAGGAGACTTTATTAGGCTGCCCCATTGGTCCGGATAATTTTAATGAGTCTTTATAACCACCAGTCATTAAGAATAGAAATTCATAATTTAAAATACCCTGGACAATATTCCAGTAGTGTAACATGAACTCAAAATAAGAATAAATTTATGACTTACATTACCATTGAAACCAGCAAACTAACTTAAACAAGTAAACATAATTACAGTTAAGAAAAAAAAATTGTTCACAGTACAATTGCCCTGCGACTCCATGTTCTTAAAACACATATAGATATGGAGATCTGTTTTCTACACTTTCTAACTTCTTTTCATTGATCAAATCCAGCAACGCCCATGTCACACAATGATATATTATCTCATAAAGTTTTCTTAATCCACCATTTTTCATTCTATGTATATTCATCGACAGGCTATCTTTCATGTTCTAGCATCATTCAATGCTAAATACTATCCAGTTTCCATTTAATTAATTGACACGATTCTAATATATTTGAAAAGAAAGTGAATATATTATTTATCCTTATCAGGAGAGACCTAAGTGGATGAAAATATGCTCACTTGATGAATTGAAGACAAAGGTGGGACATGTTATTGTGATGATTCTTCTGGTAAAGATGTTTGAGAGGAGCAAAATGGTTACCATTGCCACGGGATTGGATTTACTAAGTTATTCAGTTTGTATTTTCTTATCATCTGCGTCTTTGTATATCCTCCATAACCTACATAAGTCAGACTAGAATGTAAATTGAATTGATATTTGTAATATACTAAGTTCATAGCTGTTAAGTAAGAGCTCGTGATCCAAAACGTTATTCCTTAAACATCTGTTCGTTATAAGTGATTAATATGTTTCCCCTCATTTACACTAAATGCCTAATTTTATTTTCATTCAGTTCAATTTCAAACTTAAATTTTTCTGTGCTCTGTAATGTGTCACAAAATGCCTGATGGCACCGCAGAGAGGATATCAAATTTCTTAGAATTAAGGGAAAATGGCGATGTCACTGTTTTCTTTTTTCGGAATTAGGATAAGGATTAGAAAATATGTTTTACTTTGAAAACTAGTCTTTGAATCATTAAACCAGTTTGAGTTTGATTATGTATGAAATCTTATCTCTATTACACTCACAATATAACCTAGTTTTACCCTGAAAATGAATCTGAAACATTGAATCATCAAGTGTCTGTTGCGAAATTGTGATATTGATAAAGGAGGGTTGCCATGCATTCTATTTTTCTACTCTTCATTTCTGGAAGTTATCAAACCTTTTTTTTAATATTATTATTTTGCATTTAAAAATGTAAAAAAAAGAAAGCCTTAACATTATGTACAAAACCTACTTATGCCGATATCAATTCCAAAATATTGTTCCAATTCATAAAATTATTAAATTGTCTGATAAGAATTACACACGTATAATAGCAAAATTACTATAAGCTTCCACAAGTCACTGAATTTGCAAAGAAATGCCTTTACACACAAATGTTCTCGGTAAAAATTTTATTTTTAAAGTCGACAAAACTCATTGTATATCGTGATCTATAATTTAGTTATAGTATACTTTGTTTTAAATTGACGAGGTAAAAACTGAATTTTTTTTAACCATTTTGAAGAACTAAAATATATTTAATCATTCATTTAATTTTAAGCTGCCACATTTTGGAACAGAAGAGACAAACGTGATAATGAATAACTTGGCCCAACATGGTAGATATAGCACGCTGCATAATTGTGTCAATGATATCCACAAAAGTAGATACTTTCTCTTAACATTTTATCTTACCCCACTCAGTGAGCCACTGAATCAGAAATATCTGTCCCAGTTGTTTCATGGCCTAAGCTAGAACATGCTCATCCCCAACATGTCTCTTTCTTCTCTTCCCACCTTTCCAATGCACCATTCTGTTCAACCCACTAAGTTTGGTACCAACAGTGATGCAGCAACAGAAGCAGTTACCCTTGTCAATGCTGCTGTTCAGGGAGAGGTGTCTGTAATTGGAGAGAGTGAAAATGGGAGCATAAATGGGTTTAGAAAGTCTTGGTTTTTGAGCTCCAGGGAGGCAGAGCTTTGTTTATGTCTCAGGGTATCCTCGGATAAAACACAAACACCACAAGTAATAAAACTATTTTGCAGCATCGTTGTCTTTTTGAGATGTTTTTCTTCTGTCTGTAATATTCTCCTGTTCATGTTCTAATTCAATTTTATACAAAGCTCTCCACTACACATTAGTGGTTGAAAAAAAAAAAGGTAAACATTTAAGATATATATGAATAAACATCTTCATAAATATTTTTATAGATTAGAATCAAGTATATACTAAGGAAACTCGTATAAGAAAAAGTTATAAATTAGTTTCTTATAAACAAATTTTAGCTTAGAAAAAATTATTTAAGAACTAATTTTGTTGGTGGCTGAGTTGGCTTTCATTTCAAAAGGAATCATAATGTTTGTTTGTATTGCATAATAACTAGCAGCAGGGAGCAAAAAGTGAAGTTTCTAAGCTAAGAACCAAAGGGCTTGAAGAGCATCCTGCTATCCCAAGAAGGTCCTTAATTAGTCTGGATAAAGCATTGTGCAATGCCAGAGAGACAAGAGAAAGATTAGCTCATGACTATCGCGGATTAGTTATCTCTATTGCAGCTGGATATCAAGGCAAAGGATTAAGCCTTCAAGACCTCATTCAGGTGCCTGTTCAATTTAGCATTTCAACTGTTTGTTACATCTCCTTGTAATACCAGTGCTTATTTGTGTCAAAGAATTTTCAATTTGTTCTCCACAACATGAAAATGTTACTAATTTGGTTCTTGTCTCAATATTCCTTTTACATTTTCAATTTGATTATTAAATATTTAGTGCATTCTTAATTCGGTTCTTTACCTTAAAAGATCAAATTAAGAATATGCTACATGTATAAAGACAGTTTAGAATGTGTTTCAAATTAAAAATACATAAAAGAGTTAACGGTTTATGTATGACTGTAGGAATCAAATCAATTATACTTGAACCAACTTGAGAATCATGGACACATAGGGAAACTAAATTAAATGATTAAGCTAAATTATTGTTCAGGAAGGAACCATTGGACTTCTTAGAGGAGCAGAGAAATTTGAGCCAGAGAGAGGATATAAGCTATCCACGTATATTTACTGGTGGATTAAGCAAGCCATGATCAAGGCCGTAGCCAGGAAGTCCAAATTAGTGAGATTACCGGTGAGGCTTTGATTCATTTTGGTCTTCTTTATCATCCAAAGTGTTTGAGTAATAAACTGATTTATGAAACATAACATAATAACATTTTTAAAGCAGCTCTTGACACCCTAAGACTTAAGAAGTGGACTAGTCATTATGAATGGTAGGTTAGTCTGTGATTTACAGGGAGGCAAGTGTGAAATGGTTGCCAAAGTTGCTCAGGCCAACAATATGTTGAGCACAAGACTGAGGAGAAAGCCCACATACGATGAAACTGCTAGAGTGCTCAATGTGAATGCTTCCACCATTAGGCTTGTCTCTGAAAATAGCAGACCACCAATTTCATTGGACAAAGTTGTAACTGATCGTGGCCACATGACACTTCAGGTTTAACAACTTCTTCACTCATAAGTTATAACTTATTTGATCAACTACTGATTGGTTTTCTGTTTGGAGTGTTCCAATCAGTTGGGAAAGTAAACTCAGTTTCTTGACATGCTTGATTATTCTCATAAATACGTTTGTTCAATAAAGTTTGTCTGAAAATTCAGTTTTATAGTAGCTAAACTTGCATTACTTTTGCAAACTCAGTTTACAAACTAAGTTCAAACTGGAGTTTGCAAACTTCAATCTAAACATGCATTTAGACTATGCTTAGTTTTTCGTTTAGATTGCTCCAAAATTAGTTTGGAAATTATTTTCAGTTTCCTAACATTTTTGTTGGTAATCTTGTTATTGATACATAATATCAACTGGTTTTACCAATGATTGATCTCTGTTGGAACTTGTTGGTTACTTTTAGTGACATCTCCCTCCACAAAGTTTAACTTTAAGACCTTACCAAGAGTCCTAAGTCCTGTATCTCTCAAACCAATGACTGGTTGATAGTTTTCTAACATATTTGATTGTGTTCAATAGTACTTCTACAAATTAAATTTGTCTAAAAAACATGGATTTATAAAAGCAAGATTTGAGTTACTTTTTCAAAGTCAGTTTACAAATATAAGCTTAACTCAAACTTAAATTGGAACGTGCACTGATTTGTTTAACTTGTTCATCAAAATTTTGTTCAGGAGATTATACCAGGGCCAGAAGACTTGACTCCAGAGAAGATGGTTAAGAGGCAGCTAATAAAGCATGAAGTGATGAAGCTTCTTAACACACTTAGCAAGAGGGAAGCAGAGATTTTGACATTGTACTATGGACTCAATGGAGAGACCCCTCGATCCTTCAAGGAGATAGGAGGAATGATGAAGCTTTCAAGGGAAAGAATCAGACAGATCAATGGGATTGCACTGTCAAAATTGAGACAAACCAGTGTTATAGATCATCTCAAGTTCTATCTTGTATAGAACAGCATTTGGTTCATAAACATTACTGAAAAAGAAGAAAATAAAGCCAATGATATAGGAATGATACATATGCTATATGCTAAACCAAATGTATTCAATCATGCTAAATATGCTAAATATGCTAAACCTTGAACCAAACACAAGTAAAATTTTATAATTAACATTAATTATAAATAGTAAAATTGTAGAAGCAATACCAAGACAAAGATAATTGGAAAAAGTCTAATAAAACAAATTAATTAAGTTATGTAACTGTTACATTTAAGTCATATTTATTGTGTTTTAAATTTTATTAAAATTATAGAATGGAACTAAATTGTAATTAATTTCTGTTCTCTGTACAGAAACTTTAGTTTTTTTTTTTAAATTATTAAGTAATAAAAATATTACTACATATAATTTTGTTACTTTATTTTCTGTTTAATTATTTGTTAATATAATTATTTATACATTTAAGATTTTTTTTCATGATATATTACTTTTATGTTTTCAAGTAAATAAATGAATGATACGATATTGTAAATATAATAAAAAAATATGTAAACATCATATCATCACATAATATTGATATTTGATAAAAGCTATTCAAAATAATTTTCTCAAAATTTAGAAACTATAATTATATAAAACCTTGATGGATTAAAAGTCAACTTTACAAAATAACGAAGAATTAAGAAATATTTTTTATAATATATATACATATATATATATATATATATTTTTTTTTTATTATTTAATTTTTTTATGAGGGTCTTATGTTTAAAATTGTGTAGTTTTAAGATTGATAATATATCAGACAAAACATTGTCTTTTTTTTTTTTAGATAAAACAGTTTTTAAAATAAGATTAAAATAACAATTTACATAAAATATAAATTAGACAAATCAAGTTAATTAACATGGTTGTTTATGATTTGATTTCTCCCTTAACAAAGCCAATCATATTTATTTAATTATAGAGACTAACTAAGACTTTTTTTCATAAATAATATTTTTAAAAATATTTCCCAAAATAGCACACATGAAATATTATTTACACAACTAACACTCTTTACTGCTCACGTATTAAAATAATCGATTATTTTATATTATGATCGATTATTTCGCGCAAGATCAACTCTTATTCAAGCGAAGAAACCCTTCGCTTGTGCGAGGAGATCTGTAACAAAGGGGTAATTTCGGGTCAAATCTCGCTCAAGCGACAGGTATTTTAGCTTGAGTGAGAAGTGATTAAAATATGTGGTGACCCAAGTTGCGTTATGTGGCTAACTGCGTTGGACGTTTAGCCTGTGGTCAATTCTCGCTTAAGCGATGAGTTACTTCGCTCGAGCGAGAATTGATTGGGTAACTATGTTGGATCGTGGTCAATTCTCGCTCAAGCGAGACATCCATCGCTTGAGCGAAGAAATTTATAATCGATTATAATTTGAACTAATCGATCATAATTTTAAAATAATCGAATATACAAAATTATGATCGATTATTTCTCTCTCGCTCAAGCGAAGAAACTCTTCGCTTAAGCGAGGAGACCTGTAACAAATGGGTAATCTCGGGTCAATTCTCGCTCAAACGACGGGTACTTTTGCTTGAGCGAGAAGTGATTGAAATATATGGTGACACAAGTTGCATTATGTAGTTAACTGCGTTGGACGTTTAGCTTGTGGTCAATTCTCGCTCAAGCTTCCAGATACCCATAATACAGTAAAGAAATGTAAAGAAACAAAGAAAAGAAACTAGAACAATCAAACCCGGATTATGCAGATCCTGCAGAATGAGTTTCTTCAAAACTTTTCACAAAACTTTCTAAGTTATTTTAACTGATAACAAGTTTTAATCGATTAAAACAGTTAGCAAAAAGTTCCTTAAATAACCTTTGACTTCATCAGATTAACCTTTGACTTCATCAAATCCACAAGATCTTCGTTTTATCAAATGATTCAATAAGATCTTCATCACTTTCAATTAATTGAAAAACTCCTAAGTTTCATACATTGAGACATTTCTTAACTAACACAATCTAATGATGCGAAGTAGATGCACGTGTAACATTGGGACATGTTCTTCTGCTATGACCAGGGGGTATGACAATATGAACATTTTTTAATCCTACTTTGATTTTCTGTAATATTCATCTCAGTTCTTATACGACTTGATTTTGGTCGGCCCTTTGAAGTTCTTTTCATTTCTGGATTTGCGCACAAAGTAAGTCCTGTGTATGTTGGCCAATATTCTTTATTTCGCAATAACCCAAATTGTGTTCCGTGTACCTTTAAAACTTGTTGTAAGGTATACACTGAATGAATATAGTTGTTGAAGTCATGGTGTGCATGTTTGCATGCAGCAAGAACATGTGAACAAGGCATGTGAAATTTTTGGAATTTTCCACAGTCACACCATAACTCATCAAGGCGAACTGCAAACTTCCCTGCTGGTCGAACTTCACGTGGGTTTTGTGTTTCTTCTACTACAAATTTTGTGGTAGACCTGTCAAAAGTTATGACCCTATGCGTGTTTGCCTGTGTTTGTACTTCCTCTAAATTTGTGACCAAAATTTCAGAGTATACATGATTAACATTGATCATGGCATCTATCTGCCTTTCTCTTTCAATGAAAAATTTGTTACAACGGGTGTACGTTGCGTTGACCATGGAGCAAATAGGTAGATTTCTTATTTTTTTCAGAACAGAGTTGATAGACTCTGCTATGTTGGTCGTTATGTGGCCCCAACGTTGTCCATTGTCCCATGCAAGTGTCCATTTTTCTCTAGGTATCTCATCCAACCAATTAGCAGCTTTTATGTCACATTGCCTCAAGATGTTGTAATAATAGTAGAATCGTGGTTTAGTCATCCCATACGCTACAACAATATTAAAAAAACATAGTTAATATAAATATTTATTAGCAACAATTAAATAATGAATAAATTGTAACAATTTTGAAGCAAAGGAATTACCCATATTTACAACATCTTTCCTCAGTGCGGTGTTTTTGAAACGTCTCATAAAATTCTGTGCAATGTGTCTAATGCAGTAGACATGCACTGGATTATTTTCTGTCCATCCGCTTCCATTTCTCATATATGCACTTCTAATGGATTCATGTCGGTCTGATATGAGGCATAATCCTTGCTTGGGTGTGACGTATCTTTGAAGGTTTTTTAAGAAAAAAAACTAGGCATCACTTGTTTCACCTTCAACCATTGCAAACGCAATGGGGAGGATGTTGTTGCGGACATCTTGTGCTACTGCAACCAACAAGGTACCTCTATATTTTCCATACAAAAAAGTTCTGTCCACTTGAACAATGGGCTTGCAGTGAACAAATCCATCTATGCATGGCCTAAACGACCAAAACACACGTTTAAAAATATTTTAATTTTGTTGAATGACTTCACCTTGGTAAGCTGGTTGTGACTGCAGTTTGTAGATGAATCCGGGAACAAATTGTTGCATGGCTTGTAACAAACAAGACAACTTCTTATATGAATCTTCCCAATTGCTGTAGATGATCTCCACTGCCTTTTTTTTGGCCAACCAGGCTTTCCTGTATGTTATAGTGTAACCCGTTGTTAATTGGATGTGGGATATGATTGTGGAGATTGGTGTTGACGAATCAACATCAATTATTTGACCAATTGTTTGGGAAATCATTTTATATTCCAACTTGTTGTGGTCTTGGCTGATTAATGGCGAAACGCATGTATGGTGCCCTTAAAACTTCATAATCTCCCAATATTGCTCACTTGTGTGCAATATTGCTCGACATCTCCAATTGCATTGGTTATCAACACATTCAACAACATATCTACTTTGGTTTGAAATTTTCATCTTGTATGTGCAGTGATTGACAATGTGAAAGCGGTTGATGGCATCTTGAACTTGTTCTTTTGTTATGAAATGTTGTCCAAGAAATAGAGTTCCTGCCGGAGACATAAAAGATTCTCTGTCCAACGCATGACCATACTCTGGGTCTTGTTGTTGAATGTGACTTTCAAAGTTAAGAAAATGTTGTGGTGGGTTGTATGGTTCCATGAAGTTTGGTGCATGTGTAGGGATATGTGGTTGTTCGTCCTCTGAATCATCTTGGTGTTGACTGAGAATTTCATCTTCGTCTTCATCCTCACTAAAAGGATCAACGACTTCAATTGGGAGGCCAACAATTTCGTTCTCTTGTGTGGGTAGTTCTTCATTGATGTTGGTGGAAGACCCATTTAGAAGTTGCGTAAAATGGATGTAGTCATTATGTGTGGGTATTTCTGGGTCAGTGTTTGGGAAAGCTTGGTAGGGTGAGGGTGAAATTTCTGGTGAGTGTGTGTTAGGGTATGAAGAAGAATAAGTTTTAAATGAAATAAAAATTTCAATACCACATAGATTTGAGTTTGAATCATGAACATCAAACATGACATCCACGTCGTCATCATTTTTCAACTCAACAACAATGAAGTTGTTGATCCTAATTCCGAGTCTAGTTGGGCAGCGAAAATGGATGGTTGCTACATTTTCGTGGGGGTCTTTCTCCAATTTCTTGTGGATCAACTTCTTCAACCTTTGTAGAGAAATTCATCTCTTTAAAGGAACAAGTTTTGCAGTCCCAGTATTGAAGGTAACTCCCTCCATGGGACATGTGTTCATGAAACCATCATAGTGGACAATAGTAGACACTACACCCATTTTAGGAGTGTGGAACACAAAAAAGACTAAAGGTAAGAAGAAGAAATAATGCAAAGAGCTTCAGAGATTTAGGAGTGTGCAATGTGAAAACTTCAAAGAATGAAAGTGATCTATTTATAATGAAGTCCATTGGTTTGAATCCAATGCTCCCTCGCATGGTTTCTGATGCACAGAAAACCCAAGCAAAGTGGGTGGGTCAACATCTCTTTAAATATGTTTGGATTCTTCTGCTTTTGTCTAACCCAATGCAGGGAATCCAAGATTGGAATCCTAACTTGGGTGGGTGACTCAGCATTGGATTCCTTACTTGTGTGCATCAGAAAGACATGAG